TCAGGAAAAGAAATAAGAAATCCAATTTTCGAAAAACACAGAAAATAAAAAAAATGAATTTCAAAAAAAATCCAGAAAAAACCCAAAAACTCAAATTCCAGAAAAAATCATTTTTATTTTCCCTAGCTTTTTTCGCGAATAATTTTTTCGGAATTTTGCCTTTTTATGTTTTTCCCTGATCTTATAGATTTTTATTTACTTTTCCTTGAAATTTTGAAAAAAAAAATTCTGACGTGGCATGCTGATTGGACCCGTTGACTAGTCAAAACTGTTCACCCTAGGTCAAAACCGGTCAACAGGGAGGGGAGGGTTGAATCCTGACCGGTTTTGAGACTTGGGATTGTAATTTAGACGGTATTAAAGTTCAAGGTTGTAAATTAGACTAGGATAAGAGTTCAGAGTTGAAATATGCACTTCTCTCTCATAAACAATCAAACCTTTTCTTTCTTAAAGACACCCCAGGAAACGTACACATCTGGATTAGCACTATCAGATTATTCCTCTTAAGTAAATCTTAACCGTCAGAATTAATCTAATCCTGAAACGGTGTGCCCTTAGCAATTACCGCAGGCTGACCGTGCTCCACCGGGTGAGGAAATATCCCCGTTCTGCGTCCGCAACCGCTCAGCACCAAATGTCCCGCAAAGGAAAAAACTTAGGGCAAAAAAAAAAAAGATCTCATGCCGCCGCCGCCGTCGCCGCCATCGTTTGCCCGTGCCACCGCGGCTTCCAGCGACGCCCTACCAGGCTACTACCAACCCACGCCACACGGGCCGCCGCCACCGATCCGCGTCGGCCTCTGCTGCCGCCGCCGCCGGCCTCTCCTTGTGCAGAGGTCACCGCCTGCCGCTCCTTCGCTTGTCGACCGGCCGCCGCCGGCCTCTCCTTGTGCAGAGATCACCGCCCTCCGCTCCTTCGCTTGTCGACCGGCCGACGCACGTGACCGCGCGCCGCCGCCGGCCTCTCCTTATGCGCAGGTCGTGACACTCAAGAAGAGCATGACGAATGAGTAGGTGAAGGACTTGACGGCGGAAACTATGGAGACGGAGGTGACCTTCTCCAGGCCCGGCAACTGTGAAAGGACGACCTCGGCGAGGCTGAACAACACTGGGTACATCCTACCATCCTGGCAGCAGTTCACGTCATGGCCCTTGTAATGGCGGCAGTTGCTGAGCACCACAGATCTTCAGAAGGTAAAGATGCTTAAGTAGTGAAACTGCTTGTTAATTTGGCAAGAGAAGTTAATTTGAGGATTATTTGTTACCCATGCTGTAGCGGAAGGCAACCATGTACAGGTTTAGTTCCATTTGCCGTGGACGGCTCGGGTGAGGGGTAGCAGTCGGAGAGGACGACGGCGGTGTAGTATGTCACGCAGGTGCAACCCATTAGGACGATGGGGTCGAGGACCCAGCCCATCTGTGCCACGGTCCACGGCAGCGCCAGCATGCCGGACCTTCTACCATTTTGATCTTGTAGGGATCTTGACCTTACAAGAGGGCTTCCACATGGCGGAACTGAGCAAGATGTATTACTCCAAATATTTAGAGGATAGATATTATTATGCAAATATGAAGAAAAATCACCGGGTGGATATTTCCTGACAAAAAGTACAGAACTAAGTTGTGGTTTAAAATACACTTCAAGGAAAACGGAATAGCAATGTGATTGCTTTATATACTGCTTCAGTGATACTACTTCCATCTCAAAATATAAGGTGTTATTGTAGATAAACTAGACTTAAAAAATGTCTTACATTTTGAGACGAAGGTAGTAGCTTTGTACACTGCTTCAGTGTTTATAACGGAGCCGATCGCAGTTTAGATATATGAAAAAGGAGGGATAACAACACAAAATTCAAGTACAACCAAGTATATTTTATTTGTTTGTGTATGTAATTTCATACATTAGAATTTTTATCTATAGTACAGTATGACCAAAGTTTTATCCTATGAAAATGATTACTTCAGATTGTATTTCAGGGTGAAACATTTCCCAACAGAAAATGTATTGGTTATTGCTCTTTGGGCCAGCAAACTCCCTTCTTATTTGGTTTAGTTCGGCATTGAGTTATGATGGCATATTTTTGTCCTTCACAGGTTAAATGAGCATTGTATAAATGTCTATCTAAGTTCTCTTTCTTGTTCTTCTATAAAGGCCAGTATAGATTTTTCAATGTATTTGGGACTGTTTGACTACTGAACAATACTGCTATGTTGTCCATTTATCTTGTCTTTGCAATATCTATAGGAATACTAATATAAAAGTATTATGTGTTGAACAGATATGTATCTCTTTTGATTTTGCATTGCTTGTTATTTATGCGTAGCTTTATATGTGGGATTCTATTTCAGGACACCTTTTTCAGTTGTTAGTTGAGGACTTGAGGTGCTTCTGATTTTCTCAATCGGTTGAAGCATGTGGGTGCCTTTCTGAATGTCATTTTCTCTTCCTTGCATCTCAAATGCAAGCAAGCAAGCTTCTAACAAGGCATAGAAGAATCCAATGAGTATGTTCCAGAACCTCTTTTATATTACTTCATCACAAAAAGTTACTGCAATATTTGCTTTTTACCTAAATACACATGACAGACTTGAATGATTTTCAGTTATATTGCATCATGCCCGATTGGTGTGGTTATAATAATTCTTATTAGAATCACTGGCTGGTTTCATGTAGCAGAGCTTATTTTGTGGATGGATGCATTGGTTTATGTTTGCAGCCTTGTAGATTTTCCCTAATGATATGGAGTTGATTACGATGAATGATGCGCTCCACTAGGAAAATGTTTTCAGTGTTCTTTGCCAATTTTTCATTTGTGTAATTACAAAAAGTAGGTTCTCAACATTACCTATTTAATAGGAAAACTTGAATACAAGGGTTTGCCAATATGTTCACTAGGGTTTTAATCCGAGTAATTTTCGTGTGATACAACATTTTTAAACATCTCTATTGCCTCTCTTATGTTGGTACATCAATATATTTTCTTCCTAGGATGAATGCTGATTGTTTTCACATGATGATACGTGCGTGCACGTGCAAGCTTACTAGTCTATTACAGTATGTGGCAAGTGAAGGAAGAGAAAGGGATGGGCTTTGCAAGTTGCAACGGCTGTAATCAACTCGCCGTGGAAGGTGAGAATACGCCTAATAATTCTGGAACCTAGAATTGTTAACACCTAATCCATCGAATGCAGCCATGTATTAGCTGAAACTCCGGTGGGTGGGTGTTAAACTCGCTTGGTTCCGGCTGAGGAAATTGTTAATCAGTAGGAAGATTCAGAGACGCTTCTTCTTTCTTAAAAAATGGAGTATCATGACCACTAGACCGTTTACTTTTGTGAGTTAAGCACGAGGTCCGGCCGCCACCACGTGCCCATGTTGTCATGCCTTGACTAGTTCCCCACGGCCCGTTGGGGTCAAGAGCTCTGCGTGCATACATACATACATAGAGCGCTCAGCTCGATCGAGGTGTTGGCTTCTCCACAACACATCTCCGGCCGTGCCTTTGTCGTGGGGAAGGCAGACCCTGAAGCCCTCGAGATACTTGTTCATCGACGAGCACTGAACCCCTCCTTATTTCAGGTGAATTTGTCATCAGCATGTTTTGTCTTTTGTACAAGCGTTAATTCCATTTTTTCTTTTTTGATTTAAGTGAAAGCTAGATGCCTATTTGTGCCCAAGACTCTGAATTGCTGAGGTCACCTAATGGCAAACGCTAAATTTAACACCTGCGCCCTTTGTTATTGCGACCAGGGGCCGCGAGTAGGTTCCTCAAAGCAGAGTTAAGTTTTTTGGTCAGTAAGCAGAGTTTAAGTTGTTCATGAAACAAGTTTCAACTAGGACCAACATGATTGAATCTGTTCTTGCCTTGATGACATATCCTGGTTTGATAAGATCCTTCTATAGCAAAAAGGAAAAAACAACTGTTGTCATATATAGGATACTTATAAGCCGATGTTTTCCCTACATATTTGGAGTAATAATCTACAACAATCAATGGGGGACTATCCTCCTTTCCTGGAAAAAAAATACATGGCCTCAATTTTCATTCCACCAACTGTTTTTTTGTTTTGTTTTCTTTTTTGAAAAAAGATGTTTTTTATTTTCTCTGAAACCAAGGTGTCTATTTAGTTGACAGTGTCACATTTATTGACTCTCCAGTGGAAGAATATGCAAGCATTGTTGCAGCTTGGCCTCTGCCTCATATTGCTTGCAGCACAATATGCCCCAGCTGGAAGTGCGGTTCCTAGTTCACACTGCCGAAGACAGTGTGGGAATGTCGAGATACCATACCCATTTGGTATAGACCCGGGCTGTTCGCTCGGAGACGGCTTCCACCTCGACTGCAAGGTCCACGATGGCATAGAGAGGCCATTCAGGAGTGTATTTGAGGTCCTCGACATCTCCTTGAAGCAAGGGACAACCCGAGTGCTCAATTTCATCGTGGGGTATTGCTACAACACCTCCACTGGGAGCATGGAGTATTTTGGCCGATACGGGGGGCTCAATGAAGGCGTTTCTTCTCCATACCGCCTCTCCGATGTCCAGAACAGGTTCATGGTCATCGGCTGCAACGCCCTGGCCTCCATCTCGGACCGTGACGGCACAGGCTACGAAGGCTATGGAGCCGCGGCGTGCCGCAACCAGTCGGACCTAGTTGATGGGTCTTGCTCTGGTATCGGATGCTCCCAGACAACGATACCGAAGAGGATGTACTTCTACGCAACAACCTTTTTTAGCATGGTCAACAATAGTCAGATATGGAAGTTCAATCGGTGCAGCTATGCAGTGTTGATGGAAACAGCGTCATTCAGGTTCAGCACTAAGTACATAACCACCAACAAGTTCAATGGCACAAATGATGGGCGGGTGCCTGTGGTGCTCGACTGGGCTGTGAGAGATATCAAGTCATGTGATGCTGCAAAACAGAATAAGACCGACACTTATGCATGCCTCAGTAGCAATAGCAAGTGTGTGAATTCCAGCAATGACCAAGGTACATGTGCAATTGCACCAATGGCTATGAAGGAAACCCTTATCTTCCTGGTGGATGCAAAGGTACCAATTATTAGCTCCGAGCTAGTGACGGTCTATATTTGCACTAATATCAATCAAATTGCACATTGGATGTAGGGTCCCTTTATCTTATTTGAAACTAGATTATTTTGTTTGGCTACTTTTGTTGCAGATATTAATGAATGCGATCACAACCCATGCCCTTCAGATGGTGTTTGTCGCAATATCGCTGGAGAATACCGATGTTCTTGTCGAGTTGGAAAAAAATATGCCAAAGAAAGCAATACATGCAACCCAAATGCAGGCTTCATAATAGGTAACGACCGAACAAACATGAACACCTAGCTAGGTCATTAACTTTATCGCACTCTTGTGCAATGTCATGAAATAAAAGAGTAATGTGAAACCAATCTAATGTTAGCTAATTTACACCAACTATGTTCTACTCTCTCTCTCTTTCTCTCTCTCTCTCTCTCTCTCCCCCCCCCCATTGGTCTCAAAAATAATTCTCTCATATAATGTTGTTATCAGGACTTACAATGGGATTATTTGGTCTGATGGTTATCATCATGATTTCCGTCTTCTGGGGACAAATGACAATTCAAAAGAGAAAATTGAATAAAGTTAAGCAGGAGTATTTTCGCGAGCATGGAGGCTTGCTTTTGTTTGATAGGATGAGATCAGAGAAAGGTCTTTCTTTCAATGTATTTTCAGAAGCTGAACTCAGACATGCCACTGATAACTTTGACATTAGTAGAATACTTGGAAAAGGAGGCCATGGAACAGTCTATAAAGGGATAATAAAGAGCAGCATGCCAGTTGCAGTTAAAAGATGTGGAATAGTTGATGAAAGACAGAAGAAGGAATTTGGGAAAGATATGCTCATTTTATCGCAAATCAATCACAAGAACATTGTTAAACTCTTGGGTTGCTGCCTTGAGGTGGAAGTTCCTATTCTAGTCTATGAGTTTGTCCGAAATGGTACATTGTTTGAGCTTATCCATGGCAAGAACCAGGCATTGCAAATTTCCTTCAGCACTCTCTTAAGGATCGCTCATGAAGCAGCCGAAGGTCTCAGCTTCCTACATTCATACGCGTCTCCCCCAATTATTCATGGTGATGTGAAAACTTCCAACATCTTGCTTGATGATAACTATATGGCCAAAGTGTCAGACTTTGGAGCCTCCATATTAGCCCCATCTGACAAAGAGCAGTTTGTTACAATGGTTCAAGGTACATGTGGCTACCTTGATCCTGAATACATGCAAACATGCCAGTTAACAGACAAAAGCGACGTGTACAGTTTTGGAGTTATCCTTTTAGAGATCCTCACCGGCCAGTTGCCACTAAAGCTCGAGGGGACTGAGAAGCCAAGAAGCTTGTCATTGATTTTCCTTTCTGCTATGAGGGAGAATAATCTAGAAGATGTGTTGGTGAGCCAAGTGAAAGGTCAAGCAAGTATGGAGTTGCTGCGAGGACTTGCAGACCTGGCTAAGAAATGCCTAGAAATGTGTGGTGACAACAGACCATCCATGAAAGATGTCGCCGATGAGCTAAATAGATTGAGAAAACTTTCACTACATCCTTGGGTACAACTTGAGATGGAGATGGACAAAGAAAATCTTCTTGGGGGAGAATCTACTAGTGGTTATGAAATAGAATTAAGTGGGTATCCAGTGGACCAAAGTGAGAACCATCCCATAAACCCAGGAAGTTCCTATTATGCAAGATGACTAAACATGTAGAATGATCTATATATTACTACATGCAGTTACATCTGTTCCTTCTGAACCTCGGTACCACATGTATTTTTATTTTGAGGTAGTATTGCTGCTAATGTGTGTAACTTTTATAATAGGGAGTCTATCTCCTACAACTCTATAGTTTGCAAATTCCAAATTGTGTTTTTTAATCCATTCGATGTGTGATGTATGTTCAACAACAAAAATCCATTGGATATCAAATACATATGTATATTAGACCCAAATGAAATATACAATTCACTCACGCATGCTACTTGAAAAAAACTATCTCCGATCCAAGGCAGATCCTATTATATTGGTTTGTTTTATTTTGATATATGTTCCAATATTAAACATATTACTACTTGAACAAAACTATCTCCGATCCAAGGCAGATCCTATTATGTTTGTTTGTTGTATTTCAATATATGTTCCAATAATAAACATATTATTTTCCACAAAAGGTTGTACAAAGTAGTTGTCCCTACTTCGTTGGTTGATTTTTCCAAGGAAAAAATAACATGAAGAAATGTATAGAGATAACTAAATGTTGTATTAATATTGAAAAACTAGCAATGCACATTCACACCTACGAGGAGTTGAACCAATTGTGCATTTGCTTTTCTGCCTAAGGGCATCTCCAACGCGGACCCTCAACCGCCCGCATATGTCTAGACCGCGTAGTCTAGACGTGTTGTACCATCCAATGCGGTCCTGTGTCAATCCAACGAGAGGTCCGGATGTACTTTTTCTAGCAAACTGGAGAAAGTGGGGTTGGGCTTTGCGGGCGACCAGGACGTTGCCACGCCCGTGTCCGACCGCCCTGGCCCACTGAAAACCCGTCTTCCTCTCCCGCGTGTGTTTTCACACGGCGCCAGCTAGTCGTATTCATGCTGCTATAGAGGGGACGCTTCGCAATGACGCTAGCCAAAAGCGGACACGACCTCTCACTGGCGCCGACATTGAAGCATCGTGTTGGTCGAGAGAGCCGCCCGTGCCGCGTCCCCGGTGTCTACGCCTGTTCAATGCCGCATCGACGCTTGCTGTATGGGATGGGATAGATATCTATCATGCCGATCAAAGCAAGTCCGTCCATATGCCGCCATTAAGCAGGCTCGCTGGCCGAGGAACCAACTCCGGCGCTGCGCGTTGACGCACCCGGACAGTTTGTCTCACCGAATCCGCTATTTAAAGGCGGCTAGACCTGGCTAACTCCACACCACACCACAACACACCCTCCTCTTTTGCTCCACATCGGCCATGACCACGAGCGGGAACACTCTGTGGGATAGTCTGTCGCTGGAGATGAAGCACAAGGTGCCCGCCCTTGTAGCCGCCTTGCATTACCGCTGTGCCAGGCGGATCGAGCAGGGTATGCCAGCCAACCCGTCTGAGGTCTCTGACGATGACCCACGAGCTCCAACGATGACACGACGTCGGACCCCGCGCCGATGCATGTCGGCCTGACCATGGAGTAGGTGCAGGCGCACTACGTCACCGTCACGGTAGAGGAGGAGCAGCCTACATCGGCGTTCTGGCAGGTGCGGGAGGAAGAGAGGTACAACCTATTCCTCCTTGAGCAACACCGACTAGTGGAGGGGCAAATCTACAACAAGCGCGCAAGCGAGGGGACCATGCTCGCCATGGCATCGACAAACCTGAACTTCGTTAAGGAACGATGCATGCTTTATGAGGCCGTGCGCGCCATTCGCAATGAAGTTCTGGTGCAGCCGGACGCAGATGTGGTTACTAGCTGAGCATCGACGCGCTGCCGTCCAACTTTTGGGGGTGCACGTGTGTAACACCCCGGATGTAATTTACCTTATATGTACTCCAACTCTTGCCGTTTCCGGCGCTAAGTTATTTTATTTCCTCGGGTTCGGGTTTTTGTCTCCGTGTGTTGTTGTCGTTGTCATGTATCTCATATCATGTCATCATGTGCATTGCATTTGCATACGTGTTCGTCTCATGCATCCGAGCATTTTCCCCGTTGTCCATTTTGCATTCCGGCGCTCCTATCTCCTCCGGTGGTCCTTTCTACCTCTTTTCGTGTGTGGGGGTTAAACATTTCCGGATTGGACCGAGACTTACCAAGCGGCCTTGGTTTACTACCGGTAGACCACCTGTCAAGTTTCGTACCATTTGGACTTCGTTTGATACTCCAACTGTTAACCGAGGGACCGAGAAGGCCTCGTGTGTGTTGCAGCCCAACACCCTTCCAATTGGGCCCAAAACCCACCAAAACCCTCTCCATCATCTAGAGCGTTCGATCACGATCACGTGGCCGAAAACCGCACCTCATTTGGACTCTCCTAGCTCCTCCTATGTATAAATAGGCATCTCCCCTAAAAATCCCGGATCCAATCCAACCCCAAACCCTAGCCCCGCTTCATCCGCGCGCCGGACACGTCCGGGTCACGCCGGACAAAGTCGCCGCCGCCGCCCCGCGCCAATAGGGCGCCGCCACCTTTCCCGGGGCGGGACCGCTTCGCCACCACCGCCTGAGGCCCGCCAGGCCCGGAGCCGGCCCCCGCGGCCCAACTAGGGCGCGCCGCCGCCTTACGCCTCCCTCGCCCGAGCCGGCGAGCTCCAGCCGCCGCGCCTCCGCCCGCCGCCCTGCTCCACCTCGCCACCGGCCGCCTCCGCCGCCACCTCGTCGCCAAGGGCTGCGCGCCACCGACGCCGGCCACCTTCGACCCCGTCCGGCGCCGTCCGCCGCCCGGAGCTGCCGTGCCCCTCCGCGCCTCCTCTCCGACGCCGGCGACCTCGCCCCCGCCGGCCACTTCTTCTCCGGCGACGGCCAACCTTGAACGGCGTGCCTCGTCAGATCCAGATCCGAGCTACAGTAAACCCTAGCGAGGGTTGACTTTCTCTCCACTCCCCTGAACTTTTGGCATTTTACCGTGCTATAACTCTCTCTCCGTAGCTCCGATTTGGGCGTGTAGCATATCAAAATGTTCGTCTCAGAGAGTAAATCATTTCATCTCATTGCATCATTTTCATTTGAGCTCATTTTGATGCCCGAAATGCTGTTGGAAGAGAGCTATTTGAGATAATTGTCAGATCTGCTGCACCAAATAGCTATTTGTCATTTTTGCCATGTTTAATGTGTGCATGATATGCTCCTGAGCTCTACATGTGTTTTGTTATATGCCATGCCATATTTACAGAGTGCTTACCATGTATTTTTGTGATATGTGTGGTGACTAGCACAAGCTTGCAAAGTAATGCATTCATTAATGCTGATTTCAGGGACTTGGAATTTCACTAAGTCCTTGATCTGTTCTTATCAATATGCCATATGTTCATGTTGTTTCCTAGTGATATGTGCCTCTTTTGAGGATGATCAGTAAGGATGTTTTGTTAACATTGTGGTTCTCTATCTATCCATGTCTTTGTTTACAATTATGGAGCACCCTAGGTTGAGTCAATCGAGCTCTACTTTTGCTATTTCGTGAATCCTGGCAGATTGTTTATTTGTTAGCGATTTTGCCGAGGATGTTGTTGTTGATCCGTGCATGCTATGTTGTTGTTATTGCCATGTCTAGCTTCTATGATATGTATTCTTGATGGGTGTATGCTTAGTTTGTCATGCCTTGCTCTGTAGTGAGTGCATCGAGCTCGTAAACATGCCTACTCGTTAACATATTTGCATGCTCCAGTTTTTCTCTAAGTCTGTAATCTGATTATGTTTTTGCCATGTTCACATGCTTGCAATTGTATTTTCTGATCCCTTTTGGCTCAAGGTCACTAAGGGACTTTTATTAAGTGCTTTGAGTATCTTCATGTCATGCCTTGCTTTGCCATGTTAAGTTCCTGTAGCATATAGTTTTCATGCTCCAAAGTGTGCTACCTGATGTGAAATTCCAGACTTGTGTTAATTTCACTAAGTCTGAAACCTGTTTATCAATTGCACTTTTGCCATGCTTTTTTGAACCTGTTAATGGATGAATTGGCCGTAGCTCAGTGTTCATCTTTTGTCAAGCATCATGAGTGCATCCCTGCCATGTATTTTGTTGCCATGTTTGAGTGATGTAGCATATTTATCTTGATGCATTTAGATGACTACTTGCTGTTTATCGCAGACCGGTGCCATATTTGTTTTGCTTGTCATTTCCAAACCGTGCATCCGATTCCGGAGATCTTTATATCGATTTCAACCGAAATCACCTCACCTTCCAGTGGCACTCTTGGATTTCCAAGTTGAGGCCAGGTTCAATCATTCCTTGTCAAATCTTGCATATGCATCATATATCGCATCCCACATAGCATACCATGTTTGCATCATGTTGTTCGAGCTTTGCACATGGTTGATTGTGTTCCTTTTGCTTGTTTGTCTTGTTTGGGTAGAGCCGGGAGACGAGTTCGCTAACGAGGAGCCCGTTGAGTTTGCTTACGAGGATCAAGTCAATTCTGACAACTTTGCAGGCAAGATGATCATACCATCGAAATCACTTCTATCTTTGCTCGCTAGATGCTCGCTCTTTTGCTATGCCTATGCTACGATACCTACTACTTGCTTATCATGCCTCCCAATTTGCCATGTCAAACCTCTAACCCACCATGTCCTAGCAAACCGTTGATTGGCTATGTTACCGCTTTGCTCAGCCCCTCTTATAGCGTTCCTAGTTGCAGGTGAAGATTGGAGATCGTTCCTTGTTGGAACATTGTTTATTGTTGGGATATCAGTATAATATCTTGTTATCTTAATGCATCTATATACTTGGTTAAGGGTGGAAGGCTTGGCCTTTTGCCTAGTGTTTTGTTCCACTCTTGCCGCCCTAGTTTCCGTCATATCGGTGTTATGTTCTCGGATTTTGCGTTTCTTACGCGGTTGGGTGATAATGGGAACCCCTTGACAGTTCGCCTTGAATAAAACTCCTCCAGCAATGCCCAACCTTGGTTTTTACCATTTGCCACCTAGCCTTTTTCTCTTGGGTTTCGCGGACTCAAGGGTCATCTTTATTTTAAACCCCCGGGCTAGTGCTTCT